GGAGAAGTGCTCACTAACACAGATTTAGACAGATTTGTGAACAATATTTGAGAGAAATAGGCCTTTTGTGTACATAGAAGAAGTCTTAGATCTTTGAGTTCAGCTCATGAAAAATGGGGGCAAAAACAAAAGTGTTGCGTTTATAATTTTGTTCAGTGTAACTCAAGACTGGATTAGTCTGAAAGAAGAAAGTCATATACACCTAGGATGATTTGAGGGTAATTTAAGGGATAATTTTCATTTTTGGGTGAACTAACCCTTTAATCTCTCTCTGTCACACACTCATGCACTACCTCACAGACCCTCACACACACACACACACACACACACACACACAGTTCAGAGAAGTTCACCATAGTAAATTAGATTTTTATTTTTTTTATTTGTAGTTAAAATTTATTGTAATAATTCATCAAAACATTGTTTGTTACTCATTACTTGGAAATATGTTTTTTTTCAATTTAGTCTTTATAAAGTCAATTTAACTGTTCACACACACACACACACAGTTCAGAGGAGTTCACACGAGTATTTCAGTAAACTTTCAGTGTCTTTTGTAGTTCAATTTTTTTGTAGGCCATATGATTAACCAAAATGTGGTTGTTACTTTTCCTTTTACTAGTCTTTGTCTTTATACGGCCAATTTAAAATTTTTTTTTTTACATTTTAAAGAATGTTGCAACCGTCCCGTTATGGGGTCAGTTGCAGCATTTGAATTTGTCTAAGTATAAATTGTACATATATTATCACATGTACGCATGTTAGAGAAATGTAGGTGGGTCTCTGACAAATGTGGGATTAATGTATTACAATTTTGGCTTTCCACTAAAAACAGTCTCTGAGAAACTGAAGGAAATACAAAAAGTGTTGTAACTGTCCCCGCTCTCCCCTACAGTTGTTTTTTTTGCTGTGCCTCACTTGCGCCTGTCTAGTTTTATGTGTTACAGCTCTAAAGGAATATCTTCAGATCAACAGATTACGGTAAATTTGGGAAATCTTTTTAATCGGGAGAATTTTCTGCAAATAATGACGTTCTATTTTCCATGATATATGCATGTTTCATGAAGTTACGAGTGAAAACGCCACATGAAAGCTACCTTAGATTTTTTTGCTAAGATACATGCTGCCTGTGCAGTTTTATGTGTGTTATAAATTAATGAGGAATATCTTTAGATATAAAAGACAGATTATATTTTGGGCTCTTTTTAATCAGGAGAATGTGTTCTAAATAACGTTGTGTATTTTGTCACGATCTGAGCATGTTTTATGAAGTTGCAAGCAACAAAGTGACATAAAAGCCGCATCCATGTATTATTTTCATATGGGTCTGGGGGTTTCTCTTAGAAAAACTCACTCAAGTTTAGTCAAAGCCTCAAACAATTATACTTGTTTTATTCTCCTCAGTGAGACCTTTCACATGTCATATGACACACAACTATCTGAGCTGTATGATGTTTCTGACATATTACAGTACATTGTACAAAAAAACATTTTGTCAATTATGAAAAAAAAATTTTTTTCATTTATCAGCAAACAACTCAGCACTACTTTGGGGTTAATCAAATTTGCTACATGTAAAGGTCAGACTCTAAGCTTTATTGAGCTATGCCCTCATATAAATCAAAGCATTATCTTCTCAGTCACATCATTCCTAGTTTTCCCACTCTTGTGAAATATAATTTAGACTATACTGAGAATATGATACATTTTTACCAAGAATTAATTGATATCAACATTAGCAAAACTTGATTACTATACTGAGAATATGATACATTTTTACCAAGAATTAACTGATATCAACATTAGCAAAAAATAATTTTATATTCACATCATACCAGAACCACATACTCACTGTTAACAACTCAATAGTTATTCATAATGGCAGTAATCTTGGATAAAAGCATATTATGTGGGTGACAGTCAGACATGACGTGGAATTATTCAAATTAAGTTCTCTTAGCCTCATTTTGGAATGATCTGAAGCATTTTTATATATATATATTTTATATATGTAAAGAGTCTCTGTGGGTTTTAGAGAGGATTTCAGTCATGCAAGCAAGGAAAAGGTCAAAAGGGAGTCTGGCTTTAGTTCTTTATCATGAGTGAGGGAAGACCCACTTTTGTCTTGTGATTTTCTCTGTGAGATTCAGAATGTGTCTCTCCAGACCCATTTATCTTGGGTTAACTGCCTAAAGTTGACAACGCAACGAGTTCTTACGTTAGTTTATTCAGTCGTCCATGGAGGAGTAACTAGTTTACTCAGGCTTTGTGGTGTCAACTGACAGGTCTCAGTTTTATGGTCATCCAATGTGAGACTCAGGGCCTTTTTGGTTGTTTTGGTTCTTTGCCTTGTTTCAACACAATTCTGATCAAGTCTTCGATGTCTGATTCACTCCAAAATGTTAAATCACATACTGACAATATACATGTGGCAAGCACGGCAGGGCTGAGAGCCGCAGGAACCGGTGAACATTCACACAACTTTAATTATAAAATAAACAAACAACAAAATGAAAAGTAAAGCAGCAGCCCCTCACAGACGACTGCCGCATAAAAAACAAAGCACAACATGAAGTCCAGGCCTGTCCTCCCTAGTCTTGCACTGTCGTCACTCCTCCTTTTATCCTTCCAGATCTCCTTCCGCGAGACTCACTCCGTTCCCACGGCTCTCGGCCCCTGCTCTTCTTGCCATATAAATGCTTAATGCTTCTCTCTGGTGTGAATTCTCATGTGCCTGTTAAAGCTTGTCTGTCGTGTGAAACTGTTTCCACACAGTTTGCATGTGAACGGCTTCTCTCCAGTGTGAATTATCTTGTGCCTGTTAAAGCTTCCTCGTTGAGTAAAACTCTTTCCACATTGAGGGCAGGTGTAAGGCTTCTCTCCTGTGTGAATTGTCATGTGGGCATTCAAAGTGCTTTTATGAGTAAAACTCTTTCCACACTGAGAGCAGGTGAAAGGCTTCTCCTCGGTGTGAATCCTCGTGTGGACTTTAAGGTTTCCATGTTCACTGAAACATTTTCCACACTGTTGGCAGATGTAAGGCTTCTCTCCAGTGTGAATCCTCATGTGGACTCTCAGTTTTCCTTGATGGTCAAAACTCTTTCCACACTGTTGGCAGGCGAAACGCTTCTCTTCAGTGTGAATTCCCATGTGGATCCTAAGGTTTCTATTTTGAGCGAAACTCTTTCCACACTGTTGGCAGGCGAAACGCTTCTCTCCAGTGTGAATTCCCATGTGGATCCTAAGGTTTCTATTTTGAGCGAAACTCTTTCCACACTGTTGGCAAGCGAAACGCTTCGCTCCAGTGTGAATTCCCATGTGGATCCTAAGGTAAGGGCAAACGGCAAGACAAACCTCCAGATATGCCTCACCGAACTCCACCGTCTTCCTCTCGCGCAAGGCCCAGCTCTCCGCGATTAACAAGCCCCGGATCCCGCCGCCGCAAGGGTGCATGCGACACCGGCCGCAGCTCAGCCTCGCACCGCGGCTTCTACTCCGACAACGCCGGGGCCCGTAGCTCAAGCAAGCACTTGGCCGCCTCCACCGCCAATCACAGCCCCGCCGCACGCCACTTTCGGCCCAGACCTCACAGCCCAAGCATGCACTTGCCCTCACTGGCTATCGAACACAGCCCCGCCGCCCGCCACCTTCAATTCGGGGACCGCTGCCCAAGCAGGCGTTTGGCCGCACTGGCCGTCACACACAGCCCCGCCGCCCGCCCCTTGCAGCGCGGGGCCCGCGGCCCAAGCAACAGCT